ATGTGAAATTCATTCATATTTTTTGTTGTAGGTGTTTCATCTTTAACTCAAAAGATCATCACAACAAATTTGATACGAAAGCAGGGGAAGCAATATTTTTGGGATATTCACTCAATTCGAAAGCATATGTTTCTTTGAATAGAAGACAAAGAAGATAGAAGAAACATATTATGTCGCTTTTGATGATAAATATGTGAAATCCATTTCGAAAGAAACGGTCCAGATAGGAGAAATTTTACCTCAATCATGCAAACAAACAATTTCTCTTTTTGATCTTTATTAGGAACTTCTGAATTTGTTTTTTGAACCCAAAAATGCGATTTCTTTCGAAAATAAAGCATCTGTCAATCATGATGATGAATTGCTAAAACTAATAAATGACACCTTTCAAAATGTTCAATCTTCAGAAGAAAATATTGATTTTAACTCTAGTCTTGTTGAGGGGGAGAGTAGAAAAAAATTTAATTCTCCAATAATTGAAAATATTGTACACTCAACTGAAAGAAATCTTAACGAATTTGTGTATGGGGAGATTTCTTATCCGAATATCCATGGGGAGACTTCAAATATAAATGTCCATGTGGAGAGTTCAATTCTGAATTTTCAAGAAGAAGTCATTTCAGAAATGAAATCCGATGCACAATTAGAAGCGGTAGAAATCAATGTAGAATTAAATCTTGAATATGATATCAAAATGGACTCAAGATCATTCGCAAACTCAAGTCATTGGTGATATGTTTTCAGGAGTTTTGTCTCATTTACAACAGAAGCGAAACAAGCATCTTTAAATACCAATCAAGAATTTTGCATTTTTAATTCTTTTGTTTCTAAAATCGAACCTAAAACTGTTAAAATGGACTTTGATCATGCAGATTGGGTAATGACGATGCAAGACGAAATAAATGAATTTGTGTTGAACAAGGTTTGGAGATTAATTCCAGCTCCCGAAAATGCATCAGTTGTTGGTTTAAAGTGGGTATTTCATAATAAAATGAACAAAGAAGGTAAGGTGATTCGGAACAAAGCACGTCTTGTAGTCAAAGGATATTTTCATGAAGAAGGAATTGATTATGAAGAAACATTTTCTCCTATAGTAATACTCGAGTCCGTTCACATATTTTTGGCTTATGTTGCTCACAAAATTTTTGAAGTATTTTAGATGAATGTGAAGTGCGCATTTCTCAATGGAGAACTGGAAGAAACAGTTTATGTTGAACAACCTCCAGGTTTCGTAAGTGAAAATTTTCTAATCATTGTTATGTGGTAGATGAAGCAGTGTATGTTTTAAGCAAGCTCCACGTGCTTGGTATAAAACTCTGACTAAATTCTTGAAACAGTCAAAATTTAAACAAGGCTCTGTTGACCCCACCTCCTTTCGTAAGAAATTAGGTAATTATTTAATGATCGTTCAAATTTATGTTAATGATATTATTTTCGGTTCTACTAGTCCTGAATTGACTAATGAGTTTCATAAATTGATGAAAACAAAATTTGAAATCAGGGATGTGGGTCCAATCAACTTTTTCCTTAGTTTAAATATTAGAAAAACTTCGTAGGGCATATTCATCAATCAAGAAGCATTCATAAAAAAATTACATGCCAAATTTGGTATGAATGGTGAATCAAAGGTTAAAGTTTCGATGACTTTTGGCATGAAGCTCATTCCTCCGCTTGATAAACCTGCAACATATATTACTTTATATAGGCATATGATTTGTTCATTTATGTATCTAACATCTAGCCATCCTGATATTATGTTTGCAGTATGCTATTGTGCAGGATTTCAAGAGAATCCACACGAACCACACATGATGGCTTTAAAGAATATTTTCAGATATCTTCGGAAGACTACTTCTCTTGGATCATGGTATCCTTCTAACTCAAGATTTTTTGTTCAGGCATACTCTGATGCTGATCTCTGAGGTTGTGGTCTATATCGCAAAACTACATCTAGTGGATGTCAGTTCTTTGACAAAATATTGGTTAGTTGGCAAGCAAGGAAACAAGAATGCGTATCTTTATCAACTGCAGAAGCTGACTATATTGCAGCAGCGTCATGTACTTCGCAAATTATCTGGATAAAAAGTCAACTTAGAGACTATGGCATGAACATAAAACGGATTCCTTTATATTGTGACTCTGAAAGTGCCATGCATATTTGTCATAATCTTGTTCAGCATTCAAAGACAAAGCACATCACATTGCGATATCATTTTATAAAAACATCATGTTGAAGATGGAAACGTTGAAGTGCATTTCGTACGATCTGAGGATCAACTGGCAGGTATTTTCACGAAAGCTTTATCAGAAATAGCATTTAACAGAGTTCTACATGGAATTGGGATGATGGATGCAGAATCGGTTCCAAAATCCGATCTCTAATGTTGCGAAACGATCACTGTTCACCTGCGACGCGTTACGATTTTTGCAATCCTTAGCAATATGGGTTTTTCACAACATACTTACATGGAAGAAGATGTGATCTTTCACAGACTGGTGCTCTAGGTATTTATGTTTACTTTTTCAAAAATATTCAAAATTTCAAAAAGACTTTTTTTTTTCTTTAGTTTTTCAAAAATATTCAAAAATCCAAATTTATTTGTGTCTTTAGTTTTTCAAAAACATTCAAAAATCCAAAAAAAAAATTTCTTCATTTTTTCCGTATTTGCTGGCATGTCTATTTTCTTGGGGATCAATTATTATTCTTGTTCGCAATAGTTAGGTGTCCCTAGAAGCATATTGTAGCATGTTGTCTAAAGTCTCAAAGATTCTTTGTTTATGAAAAGGCCTAATGAAATTTCTTGCCCTAAGGATTTCTTCCCAATAGGTCGTATTAACAAAAATCATCGAGCTACCCATCTCTACTCAAATTTGGAGTTTTGAGATTTTTGCTTGGTCAATATTTCATAGCATAGGTACTATATTACTTTTCAGTAATCTTGGAAACCGATGATGTCTTGGATATATATAAGTCTCAACATAGGGTTCCTTTCTAAACCTTAACGAATTGACGGATGATCCAACATTTATTTTTGATTAACCCTTGATCTTTCTAGTAAATACCAACTTAGAGTTAGGTTTCTCAAAAATGGCTTTTATGATCATTTTCATTCTTAACTTGAGAATGTGAAAGACTCTTTTTTTTTCAATCCTATCCTTCTTACACAATGCACACACTATGACACATATCCCAAGACATCTCTAGTCTAAAACAACTAGGTTGTAGGTGTGCAACAATTGATCTTTTTGTCATTATTACCATGATCTTTGTGAAACCCAACAAACCTTTCCTAAAATGAAATGATGGCAAACATTTTTTTTCTAGAGTAAAACAATGGAACTGATGATCGAAATTCTTATATTTTGCAATGCCTTATCTTTTAATGTTCAAAATTTCTTAATTTTGGTTTGCTAGATCTTAATGAGATTTATTGATTCCAGATTAATCTCTTCCCAATAAGATCCAATTATTCTTTTTTTATTATGAGATTTCTGTCTGAACATTTTTCTTATCTCGATGTTACTTTCCAATCCATATAGTATTTTTTCCGAACTTGATCTTGACTACACTGGTCAATCATGTTCTCCTTTCGTATCATAGCACTTATGTTAAGTTGCTTCTACGATTTGAAATGAGCCTGCCCATTTAAACTATGAAAAGATGCCTTTCGTAACTTCCTAATAAGTTGACGATCGTAATTAACGGGAAACCACACAAGCAATTCTTAGTTTCTCTTCACTATTGAAGGAAAAGAATCTGTGCCCGAGATCTAACTGCTTTTATGTCAAAGATTCTTTGATATCATTTCTTATCCAATTTTTTTTTTTAAATTTGCTTATATCTTTTCATTTGGTACACTTTTGCACCGAAATCTCTGATTTCTCAAAAATCTAGGTTCTATTTCATGGTAAACCTCTCAATGTGTTTGATAAAACAATCATGGTCGTAATTCCAATGGATACTATTTCAATTTGGAAAATTTTAAGGGTGGATCATCGATTGCGAAACTGCTGCAAATCGAAAAGTCATTTTTTTGGCGTGTATTCAAAGGGTCTGACATTGTATTGTTCAATAAATAGCGGTTCAAGTTTGTTACAGAGCTATAATGAGGTGGCAATGCTTTATTGGTTCCATGTGTTTGGAATGATTGGAATTATTCCCTTTTCTGACATCAAAGACGTCAAAACATTTAATGCGTGGTGGCGGGTTTTCTCTCTCCACTTTTCTAAACAGTTCAAATTCAAATCCCACACCTTTTTTGCCAATTAAAAACCCTAATTGTTCATCATCTTCCTTTCTACACTCAAAACCCTAAACAGAACTGATGATTTTCTACTTAAACTCTGATGGCTTCTTCTGATCGTATATCGTTCATGGACCAATTTCTTCTTCTTCATTGTTGAATATCAAGTTAAATAAGAATATGGTGGTTGTTCTCGATCCAATGAAGACGTTCCGATTTCTCAGCTATCGTTGGCATTCTCCACTACAAGTTACAATAAGCAGGTGGAAGTTATGAAGTTAGAGCTCCAAGGTGTGAAGACGTCGATTTATAAATCAAATTTTTGCAAGTTGTTAGGGCTTTCAACTGTTGAAGATCTATTTTCTCCAGAACAATTTTATGTATCGTCTATTATTCAAGCTTATCATCAAATGGGGTACAACTCTGATTTATCAGTTCCTTCTCGATTTAAGAAGTATGCACTTCTTACCATTTGGAATGCATTATTTACAATCATGTTCGAATGCTTCTCTGAGCGATCAACTGGCTCTGATAGTGCTAGTCGATTATTCCACACTTTGTTATATGGAATTTATTCTGTGGAAAAGATTGATATTGGAGCCATATTATGGGATCAATATTTTTTCAAAAACAAAGGATACTAAAATTTCATGTGCTCGGTTTTGATCCATTGTGGTGAGGAATGCTATGCTCCATTATCATATTCTAGAGATGTGGGATGTTGTGATTACTGATATTCCCAAGATGTAGAGGGCGATGTTTGTTACTTCTGATCCAAAGAAGTTTGTGATAGTGGGTTCCATTTTGCCACCGATATTATCTACGGTTCCTGCTGATCATCCTATCATTATGGAATACTTGAAAACTGCAGTTTCTACTGAAGTTGGTGGTTCTGAAGAAGAAATTCCTTGGAAAAAAGTCAAAAGTTCTAAGCGCAAAGGGAAAACAATTGTGTCAAAGCAGTCTAAGAAGCATACGAGGGAAAAGCCTCAAGTTGTTATTAAAGAAGACTCAAGTGAACATACTGCAAGTCTTGATCGAAATGAAACAGAGTCTGCTCTCAACAATGAAGTCAATTCAACATTGGGACGAAATCAATATCTATTTCAGAGCCAATTCAAACTCATATTGTCTCTTCGCGTATGGAGTTTGAAGCATACATTTTTACTCAGCTTATTAATGATCCTTTTCTTAATATTTCTCAAAAACATCCTACTCCACCCATTGTTTCCGAAGTCTCTATATCCACACCAAATAAAACATGTTCATTCTTTGATCCTATTTCTCATTCTTCATCTAAACCTATTGAGATTCCAATTTTTACTAAGGCAACTTCTGCAACTCAAGTCACTATCCATATAGAACCTCCACCAGATTCTTCTACTTTTGAATCCCATAGGGATGAGAATAGAACCTCAAGCATCCCTGGTAACACACCTGATGTGGGGAGAAATGTTAATATGGGTGAAAATTTGTTTCAATCACATGTTTTTGCACCAAAATTCACCTCTACTCCACCTGTTTGTGATGATGGTGAAGAAGAAATTCCAATGAAAGATGATTCTAAATAAAATGATGAGTTTGTGGAAACTGATTTAGTGTTTCAAGTTGAAAGTGATCATGAAGATGATGATGCTCCAATGACCAAAGGATATCTTCGCAAGCTGAACAAGAAGTTAGATGAAATTCTTTCTCGGTATTCTACTTTCATCAATACAAAGTATGAAGAACTGCTCTCTTCTCATCCAGAAACAACTCAGAATTTGGTCAACGAACATGCTGATAAGCTTTCACAATATCAGAAGCTTGTTGATGATTATGCTAAACTGGTCAAGGAAGCAAGTTCGTAAGTCTCAACCATTCTCATAGAAGTCAAAACAATCGCATCCAAGCAAGAGGCTTTGAAGACTTCATTTCAAATATATTTTGATACACATGTTGTTGAAATGAACAAGGTGATTCTTAGTTTTCGAACTTCATTACAGAATGAAAAAGCAACTTTATCTAATCTTCGCTTTGGGCTACAAAAAGAAAATGTTGATCATCACACATCCATAGCCAATTCCATTCTTACTCTGCAGCCAAGTTAAGATCATGAAAATAAAATAATGGATGCTTTGGATGATTCAACCATGAAGATTAAGTTTCTTAGGGAACAATTGCAAATCTGGTTTCTTTTGATCTTGCAAAGCACATAAAGAACTTATGTTGGTAAAATGGAAAAAATTTCAGATAAATCAACGCTTGGCGAAAATTGTTGAAACCAAAGATGCTCCTTATGTATATTACATTTCCCAGCTTATGGATGCAAAGCTCAAACCAATTTTTACCAAATTGAATGATGTTACAAGTAGCAAAGCTACTTCGCAACAAGGGGAGATGAAGGGGTGTTTATAGAAGTTAACATCAATAATCCTTACCAGACAAGTTCAATGGAAAAGAACAATGTGCAAATCCATTTGGAGAATCAATCTATGGAAACTAAATTGAAGAATTTAAGGGAAAAGAAAACTGGCTAAAGGGTAATGAAGCTTTTGGTTCAGGAAAAGCAAATTTGAAAATTGTCTCTGAAAAGTTAGATGATTTGTATCCATCATTGAAAAAAGAACAAGAAGATGATTAAGAAAAGCATGATGCATTTCTGGATGAGCTTAACGCTTTGAATGCAAAGCTTAATGCAAAGGAAGCTGAAAAGCAGAATGCAAAATAAATTCTTGCGAACAAGAAAGCTCTATTTCCTCCATGGTCAGTCGAAAGAATCGAAGAAGAAGCTCTAAACAATCCAAAACTCTATTGGTTGGAACCTCAAACCTCTTTATCAGTTGATAATGATGTTGATTGTTAGATGGATTTGCCTATCACTACGACAACCTACTAGTTTCGTTGTTTTGAGAATATTCAGAAGATGCCTATGGGGAATACAACAATCAATACAAAGTTGTTCAACTTCTATGTGAAGCATTCAAAACCTCAATATGAATCTTGGAACATCAAGAAGATTGTTGGTTTGAAAATTGGAAATTAAGAAAATGTTGATGGTTTTGTCAATATTCATTTTAAGGAAGTTCGTGGAAAGAAACATGAAACAGACGAGTTTACTTTGGCTGATCTTGCGTTGATGAATCCTTTTGATTGGATTTCAATTCACAATATTGTTTCAAGAGATACTTTCAAGTATGAACCAATCTTCTCGCATATGAAGAGGTTGATAAAAACATATATCATTGAAATTGTGAGGATGGATATTGAGATCTCATCCGTTTTGACAAAAGACCGATTGTGAAGCCGTTGGAACCTCCAGAAAATCTTGATTCAATGAAGGGTGGATTTAGTGAGAATGAGAACTGGGGAGTTGCTTTCAAAGTAAAAGAAAATAAAGTGTCGAAGAAGTGTATGTTCTATTTGATTAATAAGCACATGTACTCTTCTGTGTCTTTTAATCAAATTCTATCAAGCGTAGAGAAGTTCACGATAAATTCTTCTGCTGATCTGAAATGTGTTTCGGATATGGTAAAGTGGTGGATTGGATTTCGTTTTGTTCTTTTGAAGACTATGTCGAAAGTGTTTGAATCTGAATAGAAACTTGAAGTAAAGACAACTGAAGAATATTGACACAAAGGGGGAGATTGTAGAGTTCGTAGTTATGTTGTGTTATCTTGTAATGTTTAGTTCACAATGTCTTTACTTTGTGTGGGCTATGATACGATCTCGTACTTTTTGTTACCGTGAGTTCATAGCCTAGTTGTTGACTTGAGATGCCTTTCTTTTGTCCATACGATGCCTATATATAGGGATATTAGATAGCAGAACGGGTAAGAGAGTTGATTTGATAGAATAGTTCCTTTCTTGTAATCGAATTGTTTTGATCTTACACGTTAATGAAAACGCCATCTTATTTAGATTGTGTGTTCTTGTGAATCATATCATTGTTTGATTTGTGAATCTAAATGTTCCTTCAGTCCCATGTTGAGAGTACATGTTATTTATATGACATTGTGTGCCATAACTATGTTGTTTTTTTGTAGTTATGCAAACTTTCTTTCAAATCCTTCTTCGTTTTCTATTATGTACGATTATATGATACATTGTAATAGCATACTCACACATGAACTAACTAATCTTTATACCTTACCTTTTAATGATTTATATTTTTAGGGAGAGTAGATAAAGATAAGAACAAGGTCAATTGAACGATTAGCGATTGACGTGCGAAACCTATGTCTGGTATAGATATATGTTGTACTTTAGATTTGATATATTTTGTTTATTCGGGGTAGAAATGTCACATAGTGTTTTGGTATGTTATGACATTATTAAGAATTAAATGATGTATTTTGGGTTGTAACACATTATCCCATACTCTGAGGTTTTTGAAACTAAAAAATTCTAATGATAGTTTGGTAAATGTTTTTTATGTAACCGTGGTGTTACAATGGATGTCATATTGATAAATCAATATTGGTAGTTGTCATTTCTTGGATGATAAGTTTTCAGTTGGTAATCAAAGAAACAAATAAGTGTTTTGATCTTTACTTTTAATGTTGAATATGTTACTTAAGCTTCTTATACTTCTCAAATAATGTTGATTCATATCCAATTATGAGATTATGCTATCAACATGAAGCGAATTCATCTATTATAAATTATCAAAGTGGAATACAAATTTGTCACAACCTTGTGCAATATTCAAACCCCAAACCATTACGCTTTGTAATCATTTCACTAAAGATCATATGGATGAAGGTAACACTGAAGTTCATTTTGTTCGGACAAAAGACCAGCAGGCTAAAATTTTCACGAAATCTTCATGAAAAATCATCCACACGAATTATCAACAAGCTTGGCATTATGGTTCGCCTCAGTTCCAAAATAAAGATAAGTTTCCACTTTTTGATAACTTAATTTATGAAAAAACAAATATGGTCCAAATTGTATTGAAGCAATACCATTATAGACAACAATGTGTTCTTGATGGAATTGTGTTATGATTCCATATTTTATTGTTCACTTACAAAGTCTTGAAACGCTTGGAATGACTTCCTTTCTCATTAACTTCTTACAAACAATTTTTTTTTTTAAAATTCAAGGTTCATTTGAATCTAATTTTCTTATTTTATTAAAAAATTATCTTTCCTGAAATGTTACCGTTAACATCTGATGGTTCGAATAACTTCATTGAGTTTGTTCTACTTTAATGCCCATATATAATAAAACTTTATTCTTCAAACATGAAGTTTTAGTTCTCTTAGGACATTCAATTTTTTGAATTTTTTTTCATTTGATTAGCATTTTTTTTCTCTTTTGCATTTCAAAATATGAAGACAACAAACATCTTTTATTTTATTGATTGTTTTCTACTTCTTTTTGTTTATTTGAAATTAAATTTGGTGATCTCTTAATATTTTGCTTATTTATCTTGTGTTCAATTATTACCATTTGCAAATTTCCATTCATATTTTCGTCTGAGGCTAGGATAAGGAAAAGATTTGATATCTAAATTAAATTAGATTATTTAATTCTTTTGGTATGCTCTCTTTCCAAGCAAACAGAGACTATAAATGCCCCCTCTGTGGCACTCCTCAAATTCATATCACTCTATACATCTAGAGTTTCTCTTCTCTCTTGGTTAATTTCTTGCTCAATCTTTATTGTTCTAACGGTTAATCATCTAACATCAATAATTTGAAATTGCTGCGTGTGAAACATTAAAGGCAATCTACTTTGATTGTTGTCTTCCTTGGCTTGGTGATTTCGATTTTTACATCAAAGGTTCTTCAAGCAAATTAGTATTGCTAAAGTTTACTATTTCTTGATCCCTCTTGTAGTTGTTCATATCATTTAGTTTAAGGATGCTTTTATGTTTTAGTTGGTTGATTGGCTTAAATTAGAATATATGTTTTAGCTTCCTGGTAATTATCCATGGAAGTATATAGAAAACCTATCACCTTTAAATGTTTATAATTGGAAAATGGACATACAAGGAAAATATGATGCTCTTATTACAATAGGATATAAGATTGGGTTTCAAGTCTACCTAATACAAGTAACATTTATAGATTATGGATTATTAGGAACAAAAGCGACTCCAACGAGTCATTTCAATTGTACAAGATTGCAAATTTTGATGATGGTTAGTTTATTTGAAATCTTTGATGATGGTATAAGTTATTTTGAAACATTCAGTCAAGTTGGTACACTAAAAACCATTTGTACGGTGCTAATCTTGGATAATTTTGGTTAGTTTATTTGAAATCTTTTCCATGTTTGACAAATATAAAATTTTAAATGGTCAAGTCTTCTAAAAGGATAATTTATTTAATTTATTTAAGTTATATATATATATATATATATATATATATATATATAGAGAGAGAGAGAGAGATACATAGATAAGTTTAATTGACACAATAAAAAAGGTTGAGAATGAGAGAATCATTCACAATCTGTTATTTATGTTTTTCCGCAAAACCCTCCATCGTATCGGTGGAAAGGGAAATGAATAAACATGTGTTTTCCAACAAAACATGTTTCCTTAAACTATGATAATCATTACCTTATATTTAAGGAGTTATATTTATCGAAAAACTATTTTGAATATATGAAAATTCATGAATTTTTATTCTCTATAAATAGACATCAATATTGATATAGTTTTAAGAAAAAATAAAATTTTTATTTCTTTTTTATTATTTCAGCTCTCATTATTATTAAATAAATAAAAATGCATCAAATTTTAGTTAGAGTACATTCCTTAATAACTTATGAATAAAATGTATACTTAATTTTTTTTTGTAGTTTAAGTATCATTCAATAAGCCAGTAAGTTAAAAATTGTCCGAATAAGAGAAAAT